ATAAAAAAAATTGGTCTGGGATAGGGTAAGGGTTTTGAGAGTCGTGCGGCACACCCCACCCAAGTTGGGGAGGTAGTACCCCCGGGAGGTATATAAACTTTTTCCGTTCTCTTCTGACGACCACAATCCTAAGCGTAACTTGTGGTTAAAAAGACTTGGGATACCTGTGTTTGGGGGTCATGTGACATTTGAGAATCCATGGCAGAAGAACTGCTCTCTAGAATCATACAGCTCATCAAGAAATTGACAGTTTCTCGACGACAATAAAAGTTCAAGATCATGAGGATTTCTAGGCCAATGGAACCACTCACCGGCTAATACAACGGCAATAATTATTACAAAGATGTAAAATGTGCAAGATGGTAGTCGTTGCAGTGTGATTGGACGATGGATTGCACGCTCGAGCGACGTCTTTTGAATAACCGGGTAGTTTTATTTTATATTCGGCTTAATTGTATAAGCCTACTATAAAAGAAGATGTATTTAACTCGATATCGCGCAAGAACTAAACTAACACCCCAAAGGATTGGGATTATTCTTATCTTACTGTCACTTGTTTGGGGTTTGTACCTCATGAAAATACAACTAGAAGAACGGACCTCTCAGCCGGAATATCTGAAAGCCCGAATAATAGAACTATCCCGGGAATACATTCAAGCACTTGCTCGAGCTAAAAACCTAGACACCACCGATGGACAAGTTCCTAGACGTAAGTTCGTTGTTTTTTTCTTTTATGTTGTTTTGTTTTTGGTTTGTGCGGTAGTGTCGTATGATGTTGTTGTGTGTCTGTCACATAAAGTTTGATGCTTAGCTTAAGTCTGGATAAATTTATTTGTTACTTGTTTTTGCAAAGGTGCTTACATACATTTTTTTATGATCACAATTATATGTCTAAACGCCTATTTAAGTATGTCAATATTGTAACTATATCTCTGTATTTCGGTGAAATATTTGAGTACATTTACGGTTCCGCAGACTAAACCGAATTAGTACCGCTCGTAGAGCTTCATACAGAACAGTTAACTGATCCTGCCTAAAACTTCATAAATATATTCTACGGTTTTTCTCCTTTAATGCATAAGTTATGTTCTTTGGGTTAAGTTAAAATCTTTGGGTAACTAATTGATACACCCAATATTAAAGCTTGGATTGTTCATATCGTTGATCGTTTAAAAAAATATTTGACAATTACTATGTACCTAAGCCCTTGATTAGTTGTGTTTCGCCGTTTCGATCGATGAAGCAATGTTTGAATTATAATAATATGTCACGTAATGTTACAACGTATCCTCTCTTATTGGGGGGGGGGGCAGTTTCACAGTTTTCTCGCTACTATGAGGAGAAGGTGAATTGTATTGTAGTTTTCTAACTATTTTATTACGTAAAAAAGAAGAAAAAAGTCAAGTGTTTGAATCATTTCTTGAAGGACACGTGTTTCCTGTTATTAGTGCTAGTTGTTTTGTATGTTATTGACGCACTTGTACTCCAGACTCCTTTCGAATTCACTACTATTGGAGCACTTCACTGAAGCGAGAGACGCATAATCGATAAATAGGGATTCTGCAATAATTTCAAAGCGGTTTACTTTAAAATTAGGACATGACTCTTCAAAGTCGCGAAAGTTAGCGAGGAAACAGTTAGCGAGGAGTGGCGTAACATTATTGTCGCAGCTGTGCGAACTTTCGGCACTTTGGAAGTACGTCTTTGCTCTCTCTCCTCGCTACTAAAGTTGTTTCAGCAGTTTTTGGGTATTCTAGAGTGTTATGGACGAGTTCTTTTGGCTATAGACCATGGAAGAGTAAAAAATATATATTTTGATTATTCTACTAGTGTTGTGTTACCAGGTTACAAACAAAAAATCTAGACACCACAGTAAAGAAAAAAAAAGAAAAAGTAATTAGGCTATATCGTTAGAACTAAATAAATCTAAAATAAATCCATTCCTCTTTTCGAATTTTATTTTAGTTTTTATTTATTTTGTTTTGTTTCATGAATGTCCTAAGAAATCCTTTGTGTGTTATTAGCACATTTTTTGCTGGAGTATTCTAAATATAATGTCAACTTGAAACTTGACAGCTGAGCTCCTAATCAATGTGAGAGACCAAGGGGTCTAATTTGAAATAAGAARATATAAAAAAATAATTTTTATCAACAATTAGTGACTTTTCTTTTCTATAATGGTGCATTCTTGACATTCAAGAGTTTTACTTGCAGTTATGCTGGTACAATTCTTACTAAGAGAAAAATTAAACCAGAACTGCCAATTAATTTGTATCCTAACAGGTCATAACGCACCATTTGCTATTGCCATGACACATTAGTACTCTGCGAACAGAGCTACTTTTCTCACCCGCTTCTCGGTAGGTGAGAAAAGTAGCTCTGTTCGCAGAGTAACACATTAGTGATATTTTCTGGCTAAAAAGCCTATTAGACAAACTCTCAAGATGAGTGATTTGAGTTATATTATATAGTTAATTTTGTTGAACTCTGTTTAAATTAATAAGTTTGTAAGTATTTTATGGTATTTTGTTTATAACAAGCAGTTAGCAACCCTCATTGAAGATTACATATGCATGTAAAATAAGTAAGGGAAAATTATCAGTTCTTAATCATTGAGTTTTTTTAAAGTTTAAAAGCTTTTTGTACTAGATAATTTTGAAGAATATAGCTTGATTTTACAAACATGATAGAATCCCAGCATGAGACTTRAAAAGTTTGCATAAAAAATTAATGTAGTCTGCTATTTTTGACATTTAAGAAATAAAATGTCAACAAGAATGACAAATCAGAGCAAATTTGTAACACTGTAGTTAGAGTGTTTTATGATGATTATATGAAGGAAAAGAGAATTACTAGTACTAATTTGCACCATTTTACAGTCATTTAGTAATAGTAATTAGATAGTATTCACACACATCTGCCAAAAACCCAGAAAACCRGATCATCAAAGATWTTCTTTTGATTAGCTATATAGRGGATATTACATGGGCGCRCAGAAATACAGATTCTAGTGTTGAAAAGATCTTTCATGAGATTTTCAACACGAAAAGAGATAAAATTTGTATCTCCAAGCAAACRTGTAATATTCTGTTTATCATATATAAAATTTAGAATTTAAGTAGAATGAAATAGAACAAAACACCAACTTGAAGCTATAAAAACTCTGTTTATTGGACGTTTCGGCACTTCGGCCTTCCTCAGCAAACTGAGTGTTTTATAATTTAATTATGTCGTAAAATACCTAATTTTTATTTCCAATATAAGAGCCTCGAATGTGTTATATTCATTATATTGTAGTGAAATTATAATAACAACTTTTTGAAAGAGAGAAATATAGCTAGGTATTTTATATATGATTATATGATAATTACTTTTTATTTGTTGCCTTATCTTTAATAAACTAAGTTAAGCCTTTTTGGAGACTGTTAGTCAATATTGATACTAGAGTACAAACACTAAAACTGTGCAACATAAATACTGCTAAATTATGCTAATTCTATGTTTTCTATTGTTTAATTAACACTATTTTGTAGTAAATAGTGGAAAGTGTTGCACACATTTAATGTTTGTACTCTAGTTTTATCCATTAAAATATTTTAGGTACATGTATATAATAATCTGTTACCTGCTAACAGAGAAAGTGCTTTTAATAAAAAGAGCATATTAACAGCTAACCTGCTAATTTTTTGGCAAATTTATTGAAAATAGAAACAGCTAAATAATGTTTTTAAAACAATATTATTATTTTGAAAAAAAGGATTTTTCAATATGTAGTACATGAAAGTAAACGACAAACAGAACAGAATGAAATGAAGTGAGGGTAAAGTAAAATGTGAACAAGTCCTTATATAGAAGAGTAATAAATTGAAAAGATGAAAGTAGAATAAAAAGAAATTGTGGAATTGATATAAGAATGAAGTAAATAATAGAATGAATACAAAAAAAGAAAATTAAAAGAATTAATCGCAAAATAATGGTAACAAAACTATATGAAAAAAATATTATCACAATTTTCAATATAGTGAATAAACTAAGATATTATTTGTAGACGCAAATGTTGTTCGATATTTAGTTCAAGTATTATGTAAAAAACCAGCCCTAAATAAAACAGACAATTCCAATCAGTGACATMTTTTGTAGGATGTTTAGACGTCATGGCATAACATCTAGTGTTAATAAGCATTATGTGTTTTCTTTAGCTCTATCACAATTTCACACATTTACCTTTTATGTGACTGATGATTCGTATACAATGTATAAATTGTTAACAAGTCCTGACAGCCTTGCTATAATTTCGGTTATTAATAAAACACATACAGTATTTAACAAATAAATAACAGGSTGAGACTTATTTATTTGTTTTATTATATAGATTTGGAGCAAAACTTAWGCAAAAATCCATTTTGTTGACGTTTTCAAAAATTGCTTGCGCACAATCGTGGTTTATACTCTCATAAACCACACTTTTTTGGCCAATCAGTGCACGGATTAGAAATCATCTTATATAATAAACATGTATAACTAATTGCATTTTGCCAATAATTTCAAGTATACGATAAATGATCTCTTCATTTTCAAAGTTTTGCTCTTTAGCATGCAGTCATAGAATTAAAAGAAACCAAACCTGCAAATATAAGTTTGATAACAGGCTAAGATTTTGCTTCGTCCATAATGGTATGACATTGGGCCAATGAATACTTTACTGTATGGCTCTCTCAGTCAGTCATGAATAAGTACATTTTCTTACTTTTTATTTCACTTTGTATGTTACATGTATGTTAATGAAAGACACTCTAGAACACTCTTAGGTCATTCAAACCTTTATGAAGGACATCTGAAACGTCATTTCCTGTGTACATTTTTCAGTTTAAAATTTATCTTG